TTAGTAAACTGTTGTTTATTTGTGTGATTTCATATGCTTCTAGTTTCTTAAAGTGTGAAAACACTATTTGAATACTTCGTAAAAGTCCTTAAATAGATTATCTGAATTATGAACTTCATGTGTTACGATAAAAATAGTTATCTCCTAAAGGGCAGAGTGGCAGTAATGACAAAACATAACTTTGAAATGCCAGTTCGAGTGGTAATTTCCAGTGCTAGCAGGGAATGCTAAAAATAGACACCTCTTCTCAGAAAAGAAACATTAGAAAGAAAATATAAAGAATTGAAAGCACTGGCATGTAGCACTCTGATTCATCTCTATCACGGCAGAGAATAACAGTGCTTTGAACACATATAGGTAAGTTTCCTAAGGCATTAAAAAATCCAGATAATAACGATCAATATTATGAATCTCAAATCATAAATAGGAATGACCAAAATGGCATACTACATATTAACAAAAAAGTTAGTATTCATTAATAAAAGATTTTAACATATGTCTTCTGATTCCAAATAGGAAAAATAAGAAGTTGTGTAAACTGATATTTAATCCTGCAGATTAGGTAGAGTTTCCTAGAAAGTTCCTATTTAAATGAAAAAGCTTTTAAGGCATACTTCATCCATGTGTGAAGTCTAATATGCATTGATGATCACTGAAGTTCAATCATGGGTACATGTGAGCTCATTATCTATTCTCTATCCTTAGATGTGTGTTTGGAAATTTCTGTAATAAAGAGGTAAGAAAATATCAGAATAAACACCTTAACGCTATTATCCCTCACATTAATTCCTAGAGAACTAACATGGGAGGAAACAAATTCTCTGCTCCCAAAGACAACTTTCCCATGTTTAGTTTGTCTGCCTAAAACTGACAGTGGGAAAAGTTTTCCAAATAATATATCTGGATTAGAACCAATTTGCAACAGAGCATCTAGGGACACTTCCTCTGTGTTCATTCAGTCTGACTCACTGATACTAATTGTTTTCATTGGGTTTGCATTCTCTATTAGCCCCTAAACACAGATACCATGGTATTTTGGTATCTACAGTATTTTAAAACGTCCCTTAGGAAGCTGAAGATTTTCTAAAGAGCAGATATCATTGGCAAATTTTTTTCAAAAACTAAATCCAAGTTTGGATCTCATTTAATGTAATGTATTGCTTTTATAATATATTGCTTTTCTACTCTTTAAATATATAAAGTCTATGGATTGTGAAAAATCATATATCCATACCAAGGCTTTTTACCACTATGTTTTCTATAGTTAAAAAATATGCTTTGTGATGTTGGCATAGTCCTTTGAGTCCATTTTTGTACCTGGCAGTCCACGAGCTGGGCCTCCATGTCCATGGGTTCCTGGGGTGCACCCAGTGCACTGTCCAGGGTGGCCTTGGTACTCAGGAGCCAGTGGTCCAGCTCGTCGGCTTCGCAGCGATACCTCTGCAGGGCCTGTTCCTGCCTCT